GGGGGAGGGGGAGGGGGGATTACAATTATATTATTAAAATATTATTCATGACATAATATTATTAAATATAAATATAATATTACTCGATTCCCAAACAAAAGAAAAGACTTTTTCAAAGATCAGCTATCAATTAAAATAAAATTCCATACACATAATAGTAGGAAGGGCCAATAACTGGATGACCAAACTTCAAGGCATTCTAATATAAAATGCTATATCACTAACATTATTGTAAAAATAACATTATTATATCACTCGGCCAGTTGCAGACAATGGGGAAAAGGAGATAGCAGTAAATGCTGTTCAAGACTCATCACAATTGGACAAAAATAGGCGTTCTTTAATTCTTTATGCTAGAAAGGTCCCGCCTATCATGACTACAAAAAAAGTTTCTTTCAATTTGATTAATCTGAATCATGTGGGTGGTGACGAGGACGGGGAGATTTCCGGTTCAGAGATGATTCTGAGCATGGTATTGAAGAGTTTTTGGAAGAGATTTTCGTTGTATATGGTCCATGTGTTTTAAATAAGCAGGATCATAATTCTTTGTACAAGTCAATGCTTGTTATCAAGTAGATGGTGGAGGCAGTTCACCAGCGTGCGTGTTCACAGTCAAGAGGAGTTCATCATAAAAATGTTCAGGGATAAAATTCATCAAACATTGAAATTAAATGACAATTTTTCTAAGGATGACTATGCCAAAAACCTTGTTGTTCATAAAAATACAAGAAGTTTTTTCTCTAATGGAGAGGAGGATGTTTTAGAGCCAATTATAGATTATGAATCTTTTATGGCTACGTCTAAAAAATTATTGAGAAAGCTCAATAATGTTAAAAAAAAAAAAAGGAAACAAAAAGAAAAAGAGTTGGCTATTTTGGCGTTGACTTTGAACAACATTTCATCTGGGAAAGATTCTTCAAAATCCCAAAACAGAATAATAAATATGTTTTCAGTCATTAATGATTTCGGGTTTAGGTCTATTCTCAGTTGGAGTTTCTCCACTTTTAAAGGAGTGGGCTACTTTGCAGTTGTTTTTTCTGCTGCAGCTGGTTCATCAGTCAGCAGAATGGGCTGCATCGTGTCTGCTGTTGCCTTTCAGAAATTCAATGAAAGATCACATGCTTGTGATAGACTCCAACGTTGGGAAGGTAAATGGTGGGCAGTTAATTAGACTTTTTAGTCTTGCAAGGAGTGCCATATGGCAAAATTCTTTGCCAAGGGAGGCTTGAGTGGATGGATTTCAAGCAAGATTCTTTCAAAAAGTAATTTTTTTTTAATAAAAATAATTATTAATCTGAAAATTTTGCAAACCTCGTTTCCAATTTTTGACATTTAGATATGGACGGTTCCGATTTTTTGGTGATTTAAATTTAATTGTTACAAAATATCTAATCTAGCATTAAAAAAAAATATCTAGCCCTAGCATTAACGAGCTCAGTTTATACGGGCTCATTTTAATAAAAAAAAATTAAAAAATTATTTAAACTTAATTTAATTTTTAAATAAATAAGTTCCAATATAACTCAAAAAGAGTCGAATCCAACTCGTGTAAAAAGTGTCATAGCTGAGGGGTTAAAGTGTAATTTGCTCTAAGAGATGCGGTCTCACAGAATCTCGTAAATGCCCTTACGCCACCGTTGCAATTAAATTATGATGTAATGCTAAATATTATGAGCGGGTGTCATCATTTTTTTTAATGGAACCCACTCATTTAATATTGAATCAATGAATGATATGCATTTGAGTTGAACGAGTTTTATTTGAATGCATAAGTAACTTATAGGAAAAATTTTAGTTACACATTTTTTAGTTTATTATATTTTTAACAACACTCATTATATTATTTAAAACATCACTAAAACCCATTATAGTTTATATTTAAACATTCTTGACACTCTTGCCGTTAAACCATATTTTTTAACAAAAATAAATCAGCCAAAATGCCAAAATTACCCATACATAAATCTCATACAATCTTTCTACATAAAATTCAATTAAAATTCGTGTCGATTAAAATATATTTTTCAACATATTACAATTTGAGTCGATTAAAATTTAATTTGTGTTAATTAAATTTTTTTTACGTATTAAAATTCAAGTCTATTACGTATTAAAATTCAAACTGATTTGAGTTTTACTTGAACTGTTGGCGCAGATTAAAATTTACTTCGAGTTGATTAACATTTATATTTTTTCTGAAAAAAATTCGTGTCAATTAAAATTTGATTCAAGTTGATTAAAATTTAAATTTTTGCGTATTAGAATTTGAATCGATTAAAATTTATATTCTTTATATGTATCAAAATTCATATCAATTAAAAGTCAATATGAATTTTTTAATCGGCTCAAATAGAATTTTAATACGTAAAAAAATATAATTTTTAATCGACTCGAATTTTAATGGCTAAAAAGTAATTTTTAATTAACTAGAATTATGTTTTAATCAGCCAGAATTTTGATATGTAAAAAACATTTTAAAAATAGAGGGGTCTCATTAAAGATATGCCTATTTAGAAGGGTGTGGATAAAGTTTTTTTATAAAATATATCATAGACAATTTAATAAAATTATATTCTAGTTAATACTTTTAAATTGATAAAAAGTGTCGGTGAAGATTTTAAAAATAGAGGGTGTATTTTGAAACCATAATAAACTAAATAGGATGTGGTTGAAATTTTCATAATTTATATCAAATCTAACAGATCCGGAACATGCAGACAGACAAGGAAACTGAGATAGATGATGACGGTAGACGATGGTAGTAGCAATTGGTGGTGGGTGTGCGATGGTAGTAGTGGTACGTGGTTGTAGCAAAGGTGGTGGTGGGGTGGCGGCAACAACGATGACAATGGTAGTGGTGATGGTCGTGGGGGGGGGGGGGGGATGATGGGACACCCTAAAAACACTCTTAGGACCTATTTTTTTTATTAAATTTTGGATATTAATATTAGCCGTTAGATTTACTCTAAAATAACATTTAAAAAGATCTCAACCACAAAAAGTAAAAATTATTTTATTTATTTTTAAAATTTGAATTGTATCGTAATTTACTGTGTAGATTTTTGTGGGCAGTTGAGTTATAACTTACAAGTATTACCATTATGATATATAGCTTACTGTTTACTTTGCTAAAATAGTTGTGAGCTGTGTATGGCATGAGCTGGTGGGCTCATTATTTTGGGTCAAGAGTTACAACTTCAATAGTAAGATCTAGCTCTTTGCACTTATGTATACATATATAGGTCAATCAAACTTATATTTGGTGTGTGACATAACAAAAATGCCTCATGTATTCTTCCATTTTCCATTCTTTTTTTTTTTTGAAAGGTAAAATTAATTCTATTGATCAAAAAACATAAATTCTTCAATTCTTTTTCTTTTTCTTTTTCGGAAGGTAAATAAACTTTATTGATCTATGTAGATTCCATGTACAAGCAAAATTGGTATACTCTGTACATAGTTTTACACATTGTCACAAAAACATCACCTAAAGGTGTAAATGTAATGAATGTGTTATCAGTGCCCTTTTTTGGGTATCCACAACAGATTCATGCACCAAAGCCCAACAAGTTAAACCATGACATTAACAAAATGCCCATATTAGAAACATTAGCGTAAGCAGCTTGATGGAATATTTAATCTCTATAGTAGCAGTTGGTTCTTCCTTGAGTTCTTCAATTTTAAAGAGATGATTCTGTTCATTACAGTTTGTGATTGCTATGGAGCCTGCCATTCCTTTCCATCCATAAACTGTAGGCTGTGACTGATAAGCTCAATTTCATCAAGTCTGAAATCAAACTTTTCCCTTTCCATTGTTGTGCTGCCCCATACAATAAATTCATACCAGGGTTTAGCTTGCCATTGAAGCCCACTCAATAACATGACTTCAATCCAACTTATTT